GGGGGGGGGCCAGGAAAGGGAGCTCCCATGAGTGCCAAAAGCCTTGGTCCCTTCCCGTGGTAGGCTTTGGACTGGGGGGGGATTCCTCTTGCAAAACCCCGTCTCCATCCCCTCAGCAAAGCATCCCCCCCTACACTGCCCCGGGTGCTTTCTCCCCAGATAACTGGGCTTTCCTCTACGCCCAGCGCTTGGCCCTCAAACAGGAGCTGCCTCTGCGCATCTGCTTCTGCCTGGTGCCCAAATTCCTGGATGCCACCATCCGCCACTACAGTTTCATGCTGAGGGGCCTGCAAGAGGTGGCCAAGGTATGGCTGCTGTGGGGATGTCCATGCTGGGTGGGACAGGGCTCCAGGGGAAGGGGGAAGGCAGATCCATCCCTTCAGCAGATGGCGGGGGGATGGGGTCTGTAGAGGTATGAACCATCCCACAGCCCTTTCCCCCTCGCTGCAGGAGTGCACAGAGCTGAACATCCCCTTCCACTTACTGCTGGGCTACGCCAAGGATGTGCTGCCCACATTTGTGGTGGAGCACGGCGTGGGCGGGCTGGTGACAGACTTCTGCCCCCTCCGCCTCCCCCGGCAGTGGGTGGAGGACGTCAGGGAGCGGTTGCCGGAGGATGTGCCGTTTGCACAGGTGGGTGCCTGCACTCTGGGAGGGGAAAACTTTGGTTGGTGAGATGCGGGAGAAACTTGTCTCCTGTATTTCATGCCTGCAGAGGTGTGCTGGAGTGACCTGAGCAGGTAGCGCGCCTGTCATGTTATCAGGACTGTTTGCTTCTCCTGCTCACACCCTCCTCCACTGCTTTCCTTCCCAGGTTGATGCCCACAACATTGTTCCCTGCTGGGTCGCCTCCCCCAAGCAGGAGTACAGCGCCAGGACCATCCGGGGCAAGATCCACGCTCAGCTCCCCGAGTTCCTCACTGAGTTCCCCCCCATTGTTCATCACCCATATTCCCCTTCGTGCCCAGCAGAGGTACCAGACACCTCCACTGGCCGCTTGTGGCCAGTCCCAGAGATTTTCACAGCTGCACCATGATCCTGGGAGGGGATGGCAGGGGACAGGGACAGTGACCTGCCTGAGGTCACGCACAAGTGGTGTGGAGATGGGGATGCCCTGGGGATGCCCCTGGCTGGCACCCCTGGGGAAGGGAGGTTCTCATTCACTCAATTCCTGCATCTCTGCCGTGCAGGGCTGGTTAAGAGGAGAAGGCTGGCATGAGCTGGGGACTTGCTGGTTGGGGGCATAACAGGGCAGCGCTGGCTGAAGAGCATCTGCAAATGCACTCACGTTGCTTGGTTGCCGCCCAGCCCATCGCTTGGGAGGCCTGTTATTCCAGCTTGCAGGTGGACCACACTGTGAAGGAGGTGGAGTGGGCGACCCCCGGCACGGCTGCAGGGCTGGCTGTGCTGCAGTCCTTCATCGCAGAGCGGCTGAAATCCTTCGGCTCCCACCGCAATGACCCCAACAAGGCGGCACTCAGCAACCTGTCCCCGTGGTTCCACTTTGGTGAGCATCCCAGGCATCCCACTCTGCAGCAGGACCAAGCACGGTGGCTTGGACTGGCAGCCTGACTTGCTCCTTCCCCATGTCCCCAGGCCAGGTTTCCACCCAACGAGCCATCCTGGAAGTGCAGAAGCACCGGGGCAAGTACAAGGAGTCGGTGGACACATTCGTGGAGGAGGCTGTGGTGCGGCGGGAGCTGGCTGAAAACTTTTGCTACTACAATGAGAACTACGACAGTGTGCAAGGTAGCATCCCAGGTTGGGTGGGCAACACTTGGGACGAGCTGGTACCCAGCTGGTCACCCCAACTTGGGAATCCCATTTCTGCTAGGAGAGGGGCTGTGGGGGCATTAATGTGCCATCATTTGGTGCTTTCTGGAGGTAGGATGGGAGCTGGTGGATGTCCTTTTCAAGGCTGGTGCCTCCAGGTCACAGTGCCCTCAGTAGCCCAGTTCTCCGTCCCTTCCTTAGGGCCCTGCAGAGGCTCGTTGCTCAGCATTGCTCCTCATCTCTCTCGCTCACAGGTGCCTATGACTGGGCGCAAACCACCCTGAAGCTCCACGCCAAAGACAAGAGGCCTTTTCTCTACAAGCTGCAGGAGCTGGAGCAGGGCACCACACATGACCCACTCTGGAATGCTGCCCAGGTAGGGCCCTGCATCTCCCCTCAAAAATGCTGAGCCTTTTCCTGAGGGGAAGAGGTGAGCTGGCATGGCCTGATCCCTGTGGCTGTCCCTTTCCCCCACAGCTCCAAATGGTCCGGGAAGGCAAGATGCATGGCTTCCTGCGGATGTACTGGGCCAAGAAGATCCTGGAGTGGACCCATTCCCCCGAGGAGGCCCTGCAGTTTGCCATCTACCTCAATGACCGCTACGAGCTGGACGGGAGGGACCCCAACGGATATGTAGGTAAGCTGCAGGATGGGGACATGGGGCTGGGGGGGTCTTATCTCTGATGGCCAAGGCTGCAGTGTGTGTGTGGGAGGGCTCTCTGCAGACAACCCAGCCCATCCTGCTTTGCACCCATACCCCACCTGCTCTGTAGATGCCCCCCTAACTCTGTCCCCATGCTCGGCAGGCTGCCGCTGCCTCTGGTCCATCTGCGGCATACACGACCAGGGCTGGGCAGAGCGGGCCATCTTCGGGAAGATCCGCTACATGAACTACGCCGGCTGCAAGCGCAAGTTCGACGTGGGCCAGTTTGAACGTCGCTACGCCCCTCGCATGCTCTCCCAGTGACAGGCACAGCATGTCTTGAGACTGCTCGTACCCCCAGCTCGCACCTTACACCCCAGCCAGGGATCGCCCCAGGCACTGTTGGAGGGCTCACTGCAACAGCAGCAAGCCCCAGGGTTTTGCAGGTCTCTCTTTCTCTGCCACCACCCTCTGCTTGAGCTGCTGTGCTGGAGTCCTACGCAGGGCCCTCCTGCTGCCACAGGTTTGCCAGCAGCTGCAAGAGCCCATCCTCAGCATGCCCATGCCTGCCAGAAACCTTTTCTACAACCAATATGCTCAGGACTAAGCCCAAGTCGCTGTTGCTGCTGCTAACCACAGCTGAGATTTAGGCTGAGCAGAAAGTGGCTAGTTAGCCCAGAAAGTGGCTTCTCATGCCATGCTGCCTGCAGGGAAGCCCTGCTTCACTCCACACAGAGCCAGCACTATGCTGAGCTTGCACACATATCCTTCAACGGTTGTTTTAAAGTTTACAGTTTGTATCTCCTGTGTCTGTGGTGTTTATGAGGCAATGTGTGACACTGCTGTGACAGGAGAGCTGGGCTGTGTGGGACAGGGATGCAAGCAGGGATGGGGCAGCTGAGGCCATGCCCCTGGGCCCCTCTACCAGCAGCAAAGGCAGGCTCAGGAAGGGGACAGGCGTTACAGAGGGCCCCTTACTCAGTGGCTTTTGCACCTTCTGTCCTGAGTTCAGTGAGCAGGTTGCATGGGGAGGCCACAAACCAGATGGATTAGTCAAGGGGTGGTGACAACAACCCTCTCCCAGTGACATCTGGCAATGCATCAGCAGTTGCACAAGCCCCCTGCCATCAGCTACTGCATTGTGTTCCCTCGCTGCCCCAGGGGCCAACAGGCACTACACCACTGACCCCAAGGCAGGGATACATACTGTTAACCACACCTGAAATGATGCCACAGCACAACCAGACCCCTTATTAACTTAGTTTATTAGGGACGGCATTTTCATTGCTACACTGTGCAACAGTCCCATGGGGAGGGCCCCAGTTAATGGCCAGGGCAGCCCCTTGCTCTCCCTTAAAAAGAGCTCACTGCCTCGGCCAGGTCCAGTGTTCCTCGTAGCAGTCAGTGCTGGGCAGCAGTGTCAGTGCTGGGCACACCCCTGCCCTGGAGACCTCTGCTGGGTTTGCAAGTCCCACTTAGTCCAGACAAAGTCCATGGCAGAGGGTGGAAACCACAAATAAGCCAAAATCCCTTCCCTCTTCTCTAACTGTACTCAGTGCTTCTAGAAAGGGACATGGGCAGCCTCTCAGCTGCTATCCCATGACATTAAAGTGCTTCAAACAAAACAGGGTGAACGGAGGTGTGCTGCTGAAGAAGGTCCAGGGAAGGGGGTGCCAGCTCCAGGCAGCAGCAGGAGGGCTCAGCTTTGGGTTGGGGACAGGCAAGACCAAGGCAGACCAGCATCTGGCAGCCCCTGGGCTTGCACAGAGAGCGAGCAGGAGAGCAGCTGCTCCCCTGAGGAAAACAAGCAGAAGCAAGACAGGAGGTGGCAAAAACCCCAGGGGAGTGAGTGGGGAGCTGAACCCGCTTTCCTAGGCTAGACCTGGCTTTGTCAGGATGCTGCAGAGCAGGGGAGAGATGCTGAGATGCAGCAGCCTGGCCCCTAGCTGCAAGGCTTGCAGCCACCCTCCCTGACCAAGCCCTGCGGCCACTTCTCCTGGTCCCAGCCTCTCCCCTCACCACAACCCTGCCACCCCTGCAGGGACAGACCAGCAGGGGTCACATCCCTGCCTCAAGCCAGGGTACATGCTGCAAGAGCTATTGCCCCTAGATGCCTTCTGCCAGTGTACTGCTCCCCGGTCCCTCAACACCCCTCTCACACGTACACAGGCCGCACCGTCCTTCCAAACACCTCACATCCCACCTGTGCTAAAGCGCTGCTGCACACTCACCCGTGCCCCGGGCTAAAGCATCCCCCTGTGATGCAGAGGCACCTCCTCAACCAGAGCTCACCTAGTACTGCCAGGTCCAACCCCACAGAGCCATCGGTCATGGCAGGCAGCTCTGCATCGGCGAGGGACCAACCCTTTGCAGCACCCCAGTGCCAAACCCCTCTCGCCTGTGCACCCCCCATTGCAAGCAGGCTGCCTGGCTACCCCACTGCACTGCAGCCAGGGAGCCTCGAGGCTTTGCCTGGCTCAGGGACCCCTCTCCCAAGGGGAGCAGGAGATCTACTGGGAGAGGGAGGACACCTGACAAACGCCAGCCCCATCCAGGGGTGAGAAACCAAGAGCAGGACAGCCCTGGAGGTTTTATACTGGTGAGTCCCAAGCAGATCCCCTAAAGACGCATTTCAAGCAGCACCTCCTTGGGCGGGAAACACATAGTTAAAAATACAAATAACCACATTAAAAAAATAAAACCAAATCCAGCAGATTAAAAAACAAAAACCCAACCTAAAAGAACAAACCGAGACAGAGGCTCGGGGGATGCGGCCAGAGGGCTGAGCCTTCACCCGTACCCTGTCTCAGGCAGAAGGCAGATGCACACAAGGCAGGTCCTGGTGCAACCAGAGTGAGGTCCCACGTCACCCTTAGAGGACATGTACCCCCGGAGAGGACAGACCAGCAGCATGAGGAGGAAGCGGGGTTGGAAGCTTCACTTACTGCATCCTCCAGCCATGGGGATCTGCCTCTGCCAAAAGCCCAGCAGCACCGGTCCCCTTGTGCAGCTGCTCCAGGGGCAATGCCCCTCGGCAGCACAGGCTGCGGGAAGAGGGCAGGGAAAGCAGCTCAGCACAGACGGCACGGAGAGGCGAGACAGAAATCTGGCATTTTCACCACTGCCACCTCCTCTGCTCCGGTCCTGGAGTGAGAGCAACCGCTCTCTGGCAGTGTCCCAAGCCACGTTTGAGAAAGGGAGCTGTTAAATGTACAATCAACCCCAAACCCCCACCCTCCCTCCATGCACACAACCCCCAGCAGTAGGACAAAGGGATCAGAGAGCTGATCCCCCCTCCAAGGAGCAGACGTGGTCAGAGCTTCCTAGTATACAGCTGATGAGCAGAAAGTGCTGACCCCCCAGAGGACCCTGGCCGAGGAGTGGGACACGGGAACTGGCAGCACAGCCCTGCCTGGTCCAGCATGAACTGCTCAGAAAAGCCCCCTGTTCTGCCTGCAGGACAGACAGGAGCAGCTGCCTTTCCCCAGGCAAAAGCATCAGGAGTGCGAGCAGTAGCTGAAGCAGACTCAGATGACGGAAGATGCCCCTTCTCCAGCCCAGCACCACTGCATGGGGAAAACAGACTCCTTCGAGGCAGCGCTCCAGGCCTGACAGCCCTCCTCATCTCCAGCCCGCGTGGCTCAGTCTCTGGTGACGAAGGCCACGCACGTAAATAAACCCACGATCTGCTCCTCAGCTGCAACATGCTCATGTGGCTGCCGCCGCCTCCAGCTGCTCCAGCTCGTCTTCGTAGTCCGAGACGTAGGACTCCATGCTCTGCCTGGCCATCAGCTCCCTCCGGGCTTGAAGCCGCTCGCAGCGGGGACAGCGGGTGGATTTGAAGCAGGATTTGTGGTAGCAGGCTTTGCACTCTGCAGGGGAGAGAACGGCTGAGAGCTGGCGGAGGCTAGCACAGACTGCCTGACACTCCACACCTTGGGGAGGGATGCTCCAAGGCTCGTCCAGGAGCACATTTCAAACCAGAGCCATGGCAGAACAAGCACCAGAAGCCAGGGTCCAGCACCGTTCTGGAACCAGCAAGAAGTCACGCTGCGGGCTCCCTGCACAGGCTTGTACAGCTTTTGGGAGCACAGGTGGGAGGTTTCCTGCTCCACACAAGGTCCCTCCTCAAACTTTCCTGATTCTCCAAGGAAACAGTGATTCTGCCCCAAGTTTTCTCTGGTACTGTGCCTGCCAAACCAAGGCTTGCATGTTGTCAGGAGCCATATCAAGCCAGTTCAGAGGTTGGTCTCAAGCTGAAGGCACAAGCTCTGCTTGGCCATTAGTACTGGGCATTATCAAGGATGACTCCTGAAGGGGCCCGGGGATCTCTTGGCAGGCAGGAAGGGCACAGAGACAACGCCTTCAGGCTCTCTCTGCTCTACAAGGTCAGCTCCAGCCATCCAAGCAGGGGCAGGGGAGCTGCATGTGGGCTGCAGCCTGTCCTGTAACCACAGCAGAAGGGAAGCAGCCAGGGCTCCCATACACCTGCTCGCTGCAGTCACAACCCAACTGCCCACTGCCGCCAGGGCAGGCAGCACACAGCGTGGTCAGGAAGGCACCTGCATGCTCCACCACGCCAGCAGCTCTGGCCAAATACCATTACAATGCTGATCAGTTGCTGCGATAACACGATGCAGAGACACAGGCCATGCATAGAGGCACTGTGGTCTGGCTGGCTCTGGCTCTGTACCTCTCGCTAGCACAAATGCCACTCAAACTAGACGCAGACCTTGGTGGCCTCAGGGTCTGTCCCCTGCCTGTTTCTCCCCAGCATCTCACCTTCACATGTCCTGCACTTGTTGAGCTCAAAGGGGAAGATGATGTCACTCTCATTCTGGCAGAACTCGCAGATGAAGCCTTTTGCTTGGCACAGCTAGAAGGAGAAAAGGTGAAAAAGCATCTAAATGCTCATCTCCCTGGCAAGTAGGGTAGGAGGTAGACTGGAGCAGGACAGCAGGATATGGTGCCCTGCTTTAACCACGTGAGACAGCCCTTCCCTGGCACGGAGCACAACAAGGCAGAATCAACATGTGTCAAGGGTGGGCGAGAGCCAAAATGGGGTAACAGACATCCCATACGTGCTGGGCAGGAGCTCTGTGGAGCAGGCATGAGCAGTTGGCATTGCATCAGTTAGTTTGATGGCTGCTCTGCACATCAAAGGTCTCCCCATTGGTTAACTTTGCAGCAAAGCCTGCTCCCAAGGGTGCTCAGCTGTGCAGGAGGCAGGCAAGGAGGCCTTACCATGCACTTCTCAACGTGCAGGCTGCCTGCCTTCAGGAGTTCTGTCAGGCGAGGCACCAAGTCACCCTTCTTCGTGGCAC